TACCCAGCATCGTTCTGAACAAAATACCTCGTTCCAAAAACAGGGCAATTTAAAAAAACACATTTTGGAACTCCAGACAAACGAGGTATTGTTTTTACCTCGTTACAACGTGGCAAAATCGGGGCAAAAATTTTGAAACGTTTTTGCCTCGTTTGGACAGAAATGCCGAACGAGGCATTCTGAGGTTTATAGTGTTAGAAGTTATTGTGTGTGCAGTGAACCTACCCTAACTCGATTCCCCACGTAGTTAGTACGTTTACGGTAATATATCTCCAAAAGCCAGTATAGGAGGCTTCTGGATTTTTGTATTCTCGTAGTTTATTCATCCCTTGACTCTGTGAAATACAAAACATGTTGCCACGCAAGCTGGTTCGGGTGATTTTGGATGAAACGTGGGCGTGCCCCTTGTTTATTGTACCCACGAACTCCGCCTCGAATCCGGTGCTGGGAACTTTTCGGTGGTATAACTCGATACCCCAACATAGAAAGTTAATGAAATTTGGCATCTGTCGATTTGGTGAAATAAAGATCTTGGAGGCACCAACGCTAGTTTAGAAGTCATTCAGTGCGCAGTGAGCCTACCCTAACCCGATTCCCCCACATATTTAGTACGTTTACGGTAATATATCTCGAAAAGCCAACATAGGAGGCTTCTGAAATTGTGCAGTCTAGTAGTTTATTCATCCCTTGATTCTGTGAAACAAAAAACATTTTGCCACTAAAGCTGGTTTGGGGGCTTTTTGATGCAGCGTGGGCGTACCCCTTGTTTATTGTACCCACGAACCTCGCCTAGAATCCTGATGCTAGGAACTTTTCGGTGGTATAACTCGATACGCCAACATAGAAAATTAATGAAATTTGGCATGTTCACACCTTATGCATCTGTCGATTTGGTGAAATAAAGATCTTGGAGCCACCAAAGCTAATTTAGAAGTTATTGTGTGCACAGCGAGCCTACCCTATCCAGATTCCCTCACATATTTAGTACGTTTACGGTAATATATCTCGAAAAGCCAGCATAGGAGGCTTCTGGATTTTTGTATTCCAGTAGTTATTCATCCCTTGACTCTGTGTGTGAAATACAAAAAAAATTGCCACCAAAGCTGGTTTGGGTGTTTTTTGATGCAGCGTGGACGTACCCCTTATTTATTGAACCCACGAACCCCGTCTCGAATCCGGGTGCTAGGTACTTTGCGGTGGTATATCTCGATACGCCAACATAGAAAGTTAATGAAATTTGGCATGTTCACACCTTATGCATCTGTCGATTTGGTGAAATAAAGATCTTGGAGCCACCAAAGCTAATTTAGAAGTTATTGTGTGCGCAGCGAGCCTACCCTATCCAGATTCCCTCACATATTTAGTACGTTTACGGTAATATATCTCTAAAAGCCAGCATAGGGGGCTTCTGGATTTTTGTATTCCAGTAGTTATTCATCCCTTGACTCTGTGAAATACAAAACATTTTGCCACCAAAGCCAGTTGGGAGTGCTTTTTGGTGCAGTGTGGACGTACCCCTTGTTTATTGCACCCGCGAACCCCGCCTCGAATCCAAGTGCTGGGAACTTTGCGGTGGTTATAACTCGATACGCCAACATAGAAAGTAAATGAAAATTGGCCTGTTCATATCTTATCCATCTGTTGATTTGGTGAAATAAAGATCTTGGAGCCACCAAAGCTATTTTATAAGTTATTGCGTGCGCGATGAGCCTACCATAACCCGATCCCCCCATAGTTTTAGTAGGTTTACGGTGATATTTCTTTAAAAGCCAGCTTAGGAAGTTTCTGAAAATTTGTATTCTAGTAGTTTATTCATCCCTTGATTCCATGAAACAAACAAAAATTTTGCAATCAAAACTGGTTTCGGTGCGTTTTGATGTAGCGTGGACGTAGGCCTATCCCTTTTCTGCGTGCTCAGTTAGATTAGTGTGTGATATTTTAGTATGTTTACGGTAATAGTATATATTTTTTTTTCATGGGGGGGGGGGGGTCTATTACATATATACTTTGCATTAATATGTCGTTTTCTAATATAAAGGTAACAGTTATTTTCGTGATAATTATATCTAGGTTTTTATTGGCGCTAGGAATATGTGTGCTAACTTCATTTCGTATCCAGGCGACCTTATGGCTTTATCGCGTAAATCATTAATTTCCGTCATAGTCCGGACATTTTTCCGTATGCAAATGACGTTCGTCGTAAATCCCATATAAGGTATATGTTCTACTATGCAAGGTTCTATTATGCATTTGTCTATTATGCAAAATGCAGAATGCAGAAGTGTAATGTGCAAAATAACTATTCTACTGTATTTTGTATTATTGAAAAGTGTATTCTGTATTTTAACACCGTGGCATTTGTATTGTTGAGCAATGTAAATTGCAAATTGTAAAACTAAAATACGTATTTTTAACTAATGACATTTGCAGTTTGCACCGTGAACAATGAAATAATATTGGCATCGTTATACTTCCATAGTCCACTGCGCTTTACAGTCCCGGAGCCTGTAGTGACACAGACTTCACTCAAATTTGAAAACAATCAGGAATACAAAAAATAAAACCCAAAAAAACGTAACAGAAATAATGCGACCAATCTTGACAGTGGTCGTCTCCTCAATGGCGATAATCTACCAGTTGACGTCATGAGTTAGAACGTCAAACAATTTTAACAATAAGAGCGATAATCCGGATAGAATCTCGAAAAACGCTAAAATAAGTATACTTAACGAAAATAAACGGGCGCCGCAAGGCGTTTACACAACATACATGTTAAAACACTCTGTTAGACATTGTTAAATACGGTTCACACCTCATTCATTCCTTACCATTTATTATTTACTTGTAGTTCTTGTATATAATTCAACAATAATTGAACTTTAAGCATATTAATACCCATTCCAAAATGAGTTCCGTCAAAACTCTCCATACCGTCAGTGAGGTTGCACGTATCGAATATTGATACATTATGTGGTTTTTATTCTTTTTTCATCTTGACAACGTACTTTTCGATAATTGCTTTCGATTGTCCATTCCATGAATTTTTAAGTAGTCCCGGACAGTGTGGTGGAGCGAAAAGAAACTGGACGCCCTTATATTTTTTAATGACTTTAAGGGCAGGTGCAACATACTGATCCATGATGACTCTATGATTGAATCGTGAATGGAAGCCGATTCCAGCTATTGTTAGAAGTTTCTTTCTTGTCATTAGTTCCTTTACTTTGTCAACAAATTTTCTACTAAGGCCAGTATAGTAGTACCCTTTATAGATGAGTTCAAATTGCCCACCACTAAGGTCACGTGGTGCAATGTCTAGCTGCAGACGACATATTTTTTCGGTGAACATGAACATACCAGTGCATTTGTCGTGAATATCTAAAAGTAAACAAAATACAAAAAAAACTATAATACAAAACAATAATCAGCATATTTATTCTTGTGTAAAAGCTATCATACAAGAAGGAACGTCCTCCCGAATTTGAATTTGTTCTTAATTATGTATCTTCTAGTTTGTATCTTATTCAAACCCAACTACAAAATGTCAATGTACATCTCAAATCTGTACATAACTTGATCAGCTATTGCATATTTTTCATTTAGATTGATTAAAATAGTCTGTCATTATTTATTTAATACTCTAATTACTCCATGAAACTTTTCGTCAATATACATACTTTCCGAACATTATTTCTTAAATGGGATATCAAATATTAATTTACAAAGGCACATTCACATATAAATACCAATATAAATAGACCTATGTTTCTATGGGTATACAGAAAATATAAATAGATTGGTCTAATATATCTACAAAAATTTAAATCTTGTGAAATATAGCACGCAGGTACAGTTTCTTGGCAGTTTATAATAAAGGATCATCTAGGGTTGTTATTTACATAAATATAGTGCCATAACTGTAAATAGTTTTCGAGATTTTTTTCGGCTCGGGTCACCCTAACTATGTGATAAAGAGGTTAAATGGCAATTCACGCTTGATACAAAAACCATTCAATATTTGGAATTCATCATTTAATTTTTGGTATTTGTAACATGCAGATGCTAAAAGAGGGAATACTCTGACATACGCAATATGGTATTAGGCAGCAAACACATTGGCGAAATCACTACTGTGAGTTATAAGTTAGGGGTCCATTGTTCCCTTCAAGTGTTGGGCCTGACTGCATGTGGAAAGCAGATGAATACCGATCTTTTTGCTACGTGTAAAAATGTATAGGAGACAAAGTCACTAAATTTCAGAAAGTTGTACCCAGTAGTTATTACAAAACACTATAAAACATGTGCATGGGGTCCACGGAGACCCCACGTGAACCGACAAGGGTTAAGTGCATGTCAATGTGTACACGCGACCTCGGTTTTTCGTCCCATCCGAACGACTAGACAGTTGTCCTTGTCCGGCTCTCCGTTCTGCATCACTGACAAGGGGGAACCACGCCGGGAAATCTGGATGAACTTTCTCCGCAAATGCAGGGATCAAACATCCGACCTCCAGGCTAGCGAACCAGCGTCTTACCCACTTAGCCACCGAAACACTCCTCGTTCAAATGAATTAAATATTTCGTTTAAACGAGTTAATATTTCGTTTAAACGAAATCCAGAGTCTTGCCAATCCCGAGTCTTGCACCACTGAGAAGGGGGAACCACTATGCAAAATGTTTATTTAGTATCTCTGTGTATTAAAGATTTAAAGCGAACTAGAACCACCTCACAAAATGCAATACTATTTTCTTTAAAAATGGCGGTCATCCACGACAGAGATCTATTCCCAAAATTATTAGTTCTCTGTGTACAGAATGGCAGATTAATAGACTCTGCCATCCAGTCTAATGAAATACAATATCACGCTTATGTACGGATTTGAAAGTTTATGTCTCTGTTTTCTTCTTCAGAGACTGGATCGAGAGATTAGAAATTACATCTTCAGCGGAAGTTTCCATATTGATTCAAATCTGAAGCAAGAGAGGCATGTTTTCTGTCAGAAATACAAAAATCAATCAATGACATAATTTCGTTCAAGTCGTGACCGTAAATCTCAAAGAATTAATAATATTTACCGACGGTTTCTTTTAAAAGAAGGATGAATCCATCCTTTTGTAAAAACAAAGTAAAAAGTGCATTATGGGTGGTATTTTTCACTTGTTTAACGTTGAGTTTTTGGAAGACATCATCTCTGTATACTTTATTTGATTATTCTTCAAATAATGTGACAATGTTGCCCACTGTCGGATTTCTCGCAGCCAACTCAACTAGGATAAACTGTCGGGGCGTCCTTGACATCATCGTATCAGGAACTTGGAAAAGTAGGCCAATGACGTCAAATCAGAAGGCAGAAATGAGGAAATTCCTTGAAATAGCTAGAAATGGACATGCATTGCCTCCAACTCTACAAAGAAAAGATAAAAAATGTGGAAATGTCAATTTTTTGAAAACGGGACGTCATTTTCGTGCCCTTTGTGACCAGTATGGATCCACTCCATGTTGTTATAACAACACGTGCGTTGCTAAGGAGGTAGAAGAATGTAGATGTAAGAATTGTTTTGATACAAGACAAAGTCTTCATGCTGAATATGCTGATTGGCTGCCTTCTGATAAAGGATGCCATCTTAGAAAATATAACAACAGGACAGCTTGTCAATTATTAGCGGGAAGAACTATTCTCTTTAGTGGCGATTCGTTAATGAGACATATGTATACATCATTGTTACTACTGCTACGTAACAATACCTTTGATGGCGCCATGAAGAAGAACGTTACTAAAGGTGAGCTATATGATTTTGATATTAAATCAACTTTTTTTTCAAAAGCGCCATTTGTAATAAATTTGGTTGAATATTGTTCCGATTTCTAGACATATTATGTTAACACCGCAATAGTGTACCGGCTTACCGAGGGTGATGTCCGAATATGGTTTTAGCTGACTGAATGGTTATAGCGGACCTAGCGGTGTCTGAGAGAGAGAGAAGAGAGAGAGGGGGGGAGAGGAATGGTGTTTAACGCCCACTCGACACAAACTAAGTTATTTCGGGATTCATTGCGCGTGGGGCTCTTTACCAGTGGGCGGAAACCGGAGGACCCGGAGAAAACACACGAGGTTGGACAATCGACCCTACTCCTAGTCACGTACAAGTGGAAAAACGAAACCACGCCGCTTGACGCAACGGCAGGCCTTGTGATATAACGCGCACGCGTTAACCATTTGGCCACGCGACTGCCGATGTCTGAATAGTGTTTAACGTCCACTCGACAACAACTAGGTCATGTGGAACTAAAGATATAGGTCAATTTTATTTCAATAATTCGCTTGCACGTATGGGGTCTTTAGCAATTGGAGAAACCGGAATACTATGAGAAACCCAACGACGTTAAAACTAGATAGTATAAAGGCAATTTGCTGTAAATTTCAGTTAAATTGGTCCACTATTAACCGAGAATTAAGCGATTGAAATCTCGATTATCCACGTCATGATTAAATCATGAATGAAAGTTGAGCAGCAAATCGGATCATAATCCAATAAATATCGCATTCTAGCGTTGACATCAAGGGTTGATTATGGTCTGAATAAGTTAATTAATGTCAAATTAAAAATTTAAATAACATTTCAGGCCTAAGGATAGACCTGCAATAGGCAGATTTAGCTCTTGAATAACGTATGTTTAATGAAATTAAAAGTGTTTATGAGGCCTTTGTGTGTGTGAAAGATGTAAAACGGTTTAGAACCGCATAGTACATTAATTAATTGTTTTAACCATAGCGACTATTCAGGGCAGATATCTATTCCCAAAGTAGATAGTTCTCTGCGTATAGTTGGAGCGAAGATTAGATGGGTATTGATCAGGGTACTCAATCACATGTCAATTGAATTGATATTAAAACTGCAACAGCTAGTTGTATTATTAGGTAATTATTTTTCCTTCTGGGCGGAGCCACGGTGGCTTATTGTGTGTAGGATGCTAGCTCACTATAACAGGCGTTCCCCTAATCAGTGATGAAGAACGGGGTGATTTGTAAGGAACAGTGTGTAGTCGCATGAATGTAATGGAAAAACATTAGTCAGTAGTTGGAGTAGTACTCGAAAGAGGAGTTATCTCCCCTGATGTGTTATGGAATCGTTTACCATAGCAACAACAGAAGAGTTATCCCCTTTTGTGACTGTGACTGTTTAACTTTTCCCCATAGCACACTGCATGGTGTTGGCCTGTCTTCCTTAGCCCGGTTGGGGCAAAACAGTAGGACAATAGCCCATAGATGTTCGGCCCTGCGTACGCTCATGCCCGTTTTGTATTATAGTTTTTTTTGTATTTTGTTTACTTTTAGATATTCACGACAAATGCACTGGTATGTTCATGTTCACCGAAAAAATATGTCGTCTGCAGCTAGACATTGCACCACGTGACCTTTGTGGCGGGCAATTTGAACTCATCTTTACCGAGTACTACCATACTGGCCTTAGTAGAAAATTTGTTGACAAAGTAAAGGAACTAATGGCAAGAAAGAAAGTTCTAATAATAGCTGGAATCGGCTTCCATTCAGGATTCAACCATAGAGTCATCATGGATCAATACGTTGCACCTGCCCTTAAAGTCATTCAAAAACATAATGGCACCCAGTTTCTTTTTGCTCCACCACACTGTCCGGGACTACTTAAAAATTCATGGAATGGACAATCGAAAGAAATTATCGAACAGTACGTTGTCAGGATGAAAAAAGAATTAAAGCCGCATAATGTACCAATATTCGATACGTGTAACCTCACTAGCGGGATGGAGAGTTTTGACGGAACTCATTTTGGATTGGGTATTAATATGCTCAAAGTTCAACTATTGTTGAATTATATACAAGAACTACAAGTAAATAATAAATGGTAAGGGATGAATGAAAGAGTGAACCCTATTTAACAATGTCTAATAAAGTGTATTTAACTTGTTTGTTGTGTAACGCCTTCTGACGCACGTTTATTTTCAATAAATAGACTTACGAGGTATTACCATATCACCCATGATATAGCGCGGTTGTAAACTAACTATTTAGTTGTTCTCATGGACAATAACCATAAATCTCACTGTCCGACTGCGATCGCTGTATGAACTGACATTATTGCCATTATTGTTTTATATATATATACCTTTTCTAATTTTCACATTATGCCATTTTTAGTTGTATCTTGATTAATGTCCAATTCGTCACATTTGTTTGAAATAAGGGATTGCAACTTGAGTACATCAGTTACGATTGCCTTATTGTGTGGTGTCGTAAGCCGTATTATGTTATATTTATAGCACGGCTTTCACGAGTCAACAGCTTTAAGTGTAAACCAGCAAAAGAGTGCAATAACATTGAACATGTCTAGTTATTGAACGGTTAAGCTCCACCCAATCTACTAGAGGGAAAACAATCTGCTTATTCAACGAAAAGTGCAAAGGAAGATTTCCCGTCCATGTTACAAATGGGATTCTTCATGCTGTTATACTTGGGTTAACCAATTATGTAATTATAGGAAGAAAGGAAGTTGAGAATATCAACAATCAGTGCTGCTGGAACGGGATCAAGCTGGTTAGTGCTAAATGATAAGACCAGCTAAATTTTTCGTCACAGGTCACGAGATGTAAACAGGGCAAGCGCTAATCCCAATCCAAACCCTAATCCTGGACCTAGCCCACATGCTTACCCTAACTTCCCGTCCATGTTACAAATGGGATTATACAATATGATTATTTTGCATAACTTTAGTATTCCTTTCATACCTCTAGCTATCTTTGTGGTTTTTGTTTTGTTTTGTTTTGTTGGGTTTTTTTACCGTTTCTTTGTGTTTCTGTTTGTTCTACTGAATGTTTTTTTTATGATTTTTGTTTTGAAGTTTTAATGTGATTCTAAGATATGATGTTACACACTAAATGTAATGTGAACTATGTACTATGTCGGGTTTTTTTTATTGATTATTAAATAAAGGCTTTATGGGTGTCTAATGCTAGAAATGATTCCACTATTGGTGACTTCCATCTTGCTCCAGCCACAGTAGTGGGTCGTTCTAAGGATTTCTTTTGAGCAAGTTTTGTAATCAAAAATAAAAAGAATACTTGCCTATAACTCAAACTGACGCCAAACTATACTGCACATAGCTTAATACTAATAAACCAATTCCCCTTGAAATAAAGGTGAAACGATACCACATAAATTCGTGATTTAATAAAACTCCAACGGATCCGCGATATTTCTGTCGTTTTTAAAATGGCCGCATATGTCGGTCAATTTGATTGAAAGTTCGATATATACGGCCTTGATATTATGTTTATTTGTGGTTAAAATGAGAGTTTGGATGTCGGTATTATACGCTCTTTTGTCACTTGCGTTTACAGAAAAATTATGGAAATTGACAAACATCGCAGCTAACATCACCCCAGTTGAATTGCAGCCCATGCAGCCCCATTGGATCAATGTTTCCTATTTCAATTTGTCTGCTTCGGGAGTACACGCAGGCTAACAAGATTGAAGAAGTCGGCTATAATTTGGTCCATTCCTTTAAAACTTTCGCTTCTTATCTATATAATAAAAGTCCTATTTTTAATTTGTAGTAAAAATAAATGTGATACGAATTGAAAATGTTACTTGATAATCGAGATTATGTTGGTGGAGTTAACGCCTGTCAATCAAACGGCCTGCATTCTCGTAGACGGTGAAGAGGGATTTGACTCCTATTTCTAGTCAAAAATTACAATGGTGATAACTTTGTTCAGAATAAAGTAATTTGACTGAAATTTTCAATATATTCTTCTTTTATCATCTATTTTTGAACTGTTATAGCAAGAATGGCCAACTCTCTATTAAAATCTCCCATAATGTATCTTTAATTATTTCAGTGGCTCACTCTTCACTATTTCTAACACAATTACTTATTGTCATGTAAACTGTGATATTGTAACAGTGCATATTGATGAAATATGCACAAATAGTGCTGATACATTGTGTGTAATAAACAAGATGAAAAACATCAACTTGCAAGCTTGATCCGGCTAAATCTATTTAAGGCCAGCCCAATTTTATTCAAGGTCGCTGAGATTTAAATAAGGTTAGGGCACGTGATTGTTGGCGAGATTCTAGGTTAGGGTTATCGGGAGGCGAGGGTTCTTTACAAATCCCCCCACAGAAAGCACGGGCCTTGGGTCTAACGTTTCCTAACCCATACGGGAATCGAACCCATGACGGCACCCATTCGCCTCGCAGTTGCCGGTCCAACGCCCTACCACTGAGCTATCGCATGTGGGCTAGGTCCAGGATTAGGCCGATTAGGGTTTGGGTTGGGATTAGCGCTTGTCCTGTTTACATCTCGTGACCTGTGACGAAATATTTAGCTGGTCTTATCATTTAGCACTAACCAGCTTGATCCCGTTCCAGCAGCACTGATTGTTGATATTCTCAACTTCCTTTCTCCCTATAATTACATAATTGGTTAACCCAAGTATAACAGCACGAAGAATGCTTTGGCTAACAAGTTATACACTGAGAGGGATGGTATCAGTGTGGCTTAATGAGCTCGCGATATAAACTTTTTTCCATCTGCAAATAAAATTCTAAAACATTTTCTTGGAAGTATTAGAAAAATAAATAAACGCGTTTGAAGTATATCTAATTTTAAAAATTCCTATTGAGTGTAAATGAGTATATAGATTGAGTAAAAGTCACCATTCTGCCCGGACCAGTTATCTAATAGGAAGGCTTTTACAATACCCACGTAAAACAGATTGAAACAGTTAATGAAGAAACCGTGCATTATGTAAGATGTAAATAAGAGCTGACCGTTCCTACTTTAATAGTTCCAAAATAGATAATTCAAAATTAATAGTTTCAAAATTCCATTCAAATTACTTCGGTGATAAACACTTCCTGTTACGTATTTAGAGGGGGTTTATTGTCCATTTAACCATGCTTGAATCATTAGAACACGAGACGCGATAGCGTCGAGTTGTTCTAATGGATAATTCAAGCATGGTTAAATGGACAATAAACACCCGATAAATACGTAACAGGAATGTGTTTATCGATATTGTAGCACAAATATTTGGAGATTTTCTTCGGAACTATTTAGAAAACATTTTTACACCCATTTTAAAAAGTCGTTATTTGGTCACGCGCTTGCGTTCATTTTTCAAAATATTTTCAATAGACGGTCTCTTGCTTACCTGCAAATCTAAAATTTTTGAGTCTCGAGTTGCTGGTAAATGAATTATGAAAGAAAATGTTATTCGGATATCGAAAACAACAAAATATTTTTAACATTTGAAGATCTTTAAAAGAACGAGAAATTAGTATTTTTTATTGCGGTATTTCGAGACGAGTGTCAGCGTGATTGAAATAATTCCGCCCTGCTATCCGAGACTAAAAGAGGAGTAACTCTTGGCAACAAAAATGACTTCGCTTCGGGAGTTTCATGTAAGTTTCCAGCATTTATTATTTTATTTTGCAGACTGTTATCACAATGTTGTAGCTAGTTCTTCTTTACACAATTGCAGTTCATACTTACATCCTCTAAAATACCGTATAAACCATGACAATGATGTCTAGTCTAAGATGCCAGTGGTTGCTATGTAGCTGTTCTGACGTGTTGTCAACAAATGACAATTTTGGCATAGGCCTAAATGATAATGATTAGGCCTATATTTCAGCTGCTGTATTCGACTCCCTCATTGTATTTTCAAGCGATTCCTTGTGACCAATGATTTATTATTAGGTAGATCATGCTAGTCAGATTTTGAAAGCATGATTTTTTTTTTTAAAAATCCACCTGATTAATAAAAATTGGTGAGTGAAGCTAGCCTACCAAAAAAGAAAACATAGGCTACTGACACTGTCACTGCCTAGTTTAGTTACGAATATATTTGGATACCTGAAAACGGTTTTAATTAATTTATGACTGATTTTCTACTGTTTTATGTATTTCAGAAATGTGATTTCATAAAAGATGATGTTTGAAACTGGTGTGATAGTCATGTGTGCAGAATTCCTTGAAGATATTTGCCAATAAAGATTTGAGTTGAGGAAGATCATTGGCACAAAAATGAAAAAAAGTACACTGTTATATTTATACGCAGTAATTCGCCTTAAAAATTTAGAGGGGGTTTATTGTCCATTCGACCACACTTTTCGACCAATCAGAATTGAGGAAATTTCTAATTTGTGCTACAATTTATAATGAACGACGTTATCACTGTTTGAAGTTTTGACAAGACGTACTTGTTAATCGAGATTCCGCCTCGCTTCTCCATTTTAAAATTAAATTATTAAATGGCGATCGTATTTTAAACCGTTCACATCTGCGTCATCCGGTGACCTGCAAAACTGATTATTTGTCATGCGAATAAATGTCATATTTCTATCGAGTTTGTTTAAACACAATACGTAACATGGTGCCCGTCTCTATGATCTGAGGTCTTCCCAAAACTTAGGTAAATCGCTTAAATGTATTAACGGATGCTGAAAATATTGTTTGTCCAACATAATATGATAAAAAGATTCCACGTGTGGTGAATATACAATGCTTACTTTTGTAGCTATTTTAGATAGCCTCGTTTGTCACACAATTTGTTTTTCTGCAATATTCTACTATGTACTGGTTAAATGAGCATAATAATTCTCGCTGTATGACGTAATGTAGCCGCGAATGTCATTATATACTTTTATTTTAACATAATAGGGCTCTGGTTAATCTCGGTTGATTTGTTACGCTGTAATATATTGGTTGTTGACTGGACTGTTCACCAGTCATAACTTGGAACAAAAATGTCGGGTGAGTCCGGCAGTGTGTGAGTGAGATAAGGTCTAATCAAACTTGTGAATAAAGATTAACATTTACATGACTTAGATCATTTCGCGACTAACGTATAGTTTAATTTTATTTCAATAACTCGCTTGTACGTAGGGGTCTTTGGCAGGTTGGTGAAACCTGAATACCATGACAAAACCCAAGCGGGGAATCGAAACCACGCCACTTGACCCAACCCCTTTACTTGTTGGTGTACCATAGTGAATACATACGAAACATGCATTGTCTGTCTACTGTTGACTCAGTTTAAGAACATATACGAAGCTAATACACACCCATTGTTCCCAATTTAATAAAAGTGGACATATAACTAGTTGATCCTCAGCCCACGAAATATGATCACAATATTCTAAAGGTCTAGTATATTGTATATATTATCTTTAATTCTCTAATCTTCAATTCCAACTATATATATTATCATAATCACAGGGATTGTTCTTATTTTCTTATACCACATTGATATTCTCTACTAATTCTCTACTAATATATTGGTTGTTGACTGGGATGTTTTTCTCAGATTAATAACATTCTCTATCTATTGATTTACTGACAAATACAAAGTTTGACATAATAAACACAATACTAAATTAATAATAACTCATATCCTACCTGTAAGTACTCTTAACTAATTTACACACGCAAGTCGCAAAGACACAACTAATGATAATCTGAGATGCATAGGGTTAACATGGAGAAAAATAACTTTTAAGATGCAGGAGTATAAAGGGAAATGTAAACAGATCAATTCTAGAGCAAAGGGACCTTCAAATTCAACAAGATCAACTGTTACTGTACAAGAGCTTATTGGCTGCCCTCTTGACACGAGAATAATAAACATAAATAAAGTAGGTCACAGACTATGGCACCATAGAATCCTATAACATTAAAATCATAAAGTTCATACTCTCATCCCACCAACTTCATTGATATCATTTATTAATATCATGATTCATCAATTTCATGTTCTCCTTAAAGTCACAGAACGGTAATTATATTTTTCGGAAAACTTTTTTAAATTTTGATTTTTGGCTGTTTTTGTTTTCGTTTGTTTTGACTTGACACAGTTTATATTGTCTGCAAAAGGTCATATGTCATGGGACTACTTTACATGACAAAACACGTCAAATATCGATATTGTAGCTCAAATGTGACCGTTTCCATGTAAAACAAAAATTGTTTGATGAGCGACTTTTCCGCTGCGTTTTTTCTCGAATTAAGTATACACATGCGTGCCGAAGCGGATGTTTACTTTCTGGCGTACTAACACG